CAAACCAGTTTTATTAAGTAAAGAACTTGTGTCGCTTAAGTTTCGTCGGAACGAAGTTACGGAAAGTTAATTAACAAACGAAGACGTAACAATATTTTGCCCAGTGATACTTGAACTTTCCGTCTCCATATGAGAGCGTTAGATAGTGGTGAACGCTACTCCTTATCACAGACGCATTTAATCTTGTCTAACAATGTTTAACACTTGCGACATAAATAAGGGCTTGTTCCATTTTCTTAATAAACAGGAAACAATAATACACTCAGTTTTGCAAAATGAAATAAATAACTTCCATCCATTCAGATTAATGTACATTAATTGGATAAAAGGATAACTTTCAATTATTAACCCCGAAAACCCTACCACACCACTACAGGGCGCTTTTGTCGACATTTGTATAAGTTACGTGGATAGTTCTACAAATTGAGGGTTACAACTTGTCTGTTTTGATTGGAAAGAAATATCAGGTATAGAAAATTAATTTAGTTTTGAAATACCGTAGTTAATTACGTTTAATAGAAAAACTAAACATTTGTACGGTTAGGGTCATGATTAAAAGAAATGTTTGTTTACTTGTGGTTGTACGTTGTGTTTCACTATTTGTACTTCAGTTTAATTTACTTTAAGTTTAAAGTTAGAACTTAAAAGTTAAAACACGTTAGAAGTTACGAGTCGTAGTGAACATAATAAATGGTTATTCTGACTGTTTATTTAGTAGTAGCTGTTGCCAGCGATTACTAATACTATATAAAATTTTATTATTCTGTGTCATGCAAATTTGTAATGAAACATTTAGACAGTTAAGAATAATGAATACAAAATAGAAGTGGAGATAAAATAACATAGATTAAATTTTAACAGGTATTGGGTAAGTTTAATATTTTGCTAATTTCCTTTATAATTATAAGGTTCATTGAGACTAAGTTGTAATGTTACTATATGTGTTTTTGGTATTGTTTTTTTTTTAATTTCTACGCAAAGCTACACGAGGGCTATCTGTGCTAGCCGTCCCTAATTTAGCAGTGTAAGACTAGAGGTAAGGTAGCTAGTCATCACCACCCACCG